CCCCGCCTCCGCGACTCGTTTGCCGGGGAAGGTGGCTGGGATTCGGCGCTGGCCGAAGGAGGCTGGCACATCCCCTTTTCGCTAAATGCCTTGCCCGTTCGGCGCCTGGAAAAACACCCCCCGGCTGCGCTGCAGGGGCTCGCTTTCCGTGTGGCCCATTTAGGAGCCTTTGTGGCATCCGTGCCTGGAGCTGCTGCCGCCACCCTGGCTGGGCAATGCGGAGAAAGCGCCGTGAGACTTCTGAACCCGTGTGAAAGTGTTATGGAAAATTGGTGCCCAGTGGTAGGGAGGGCGAGGGGGTGGTACAGGAACATTGCTGGTACGTGGTACGATCTTTTTGTTACAATACCTTGTATGCTCTCTTTTGGTAGGTCCTGCTGATGGAGCGGGACTTTCAGGGCCTTACACAGAACAAGTTGCAGACAGGGAAAACGGTAGAAGTTCATAAGCATCCCTTTTAATTTGGAAGAGGGACAGAGGACAGGCTGTAGCTTCACCATGCAGAGCTGAGATGTAGCTTGCCTTTCTGTGGAAAGTAGGTTATGATATGGCAGGTGAACAGAGGGAAGAGGAGAGAGTTCAGGGTTGAAACGGAGCTTGAAGAAAAGTGGCCTTCAGGGCTTGTGTGTTGGGCCTGCAGGTAAGGGGAACTGTCACATCTTATCTCACACAGAGCAGTGGGGCCACTCTTGGAAGTCGGGAGGAACTGCTTCAGTCTTGTGTGTACTCCATAGAAGCACAGTGAAGTTTATTTAATGCTGGTGTGCATCTAATTATTTGAGGACCTTTGATGAAAGGAACCTGTGGAAAATATTTTGTTTAAGTTTTAATTTGTTGAGTTTTCTCTTGCACTTCTGTTTTAGTTAAAAATAAATTGGAGGAAAGTGCCAAGAAGTAGTCTTTGTTCTGTTAAGAGTCAGAATTGTTTCTGTGAAAGGAAAGATGATGATCACGCTTTTGGAAGAAGTATTGTTAAGCTTATTTACCCAGTGGAAAGAGGGTTTGTTCTAGATGTATTCTGGCAAATAATAGCAGTAATCCAGCAGAAAAGAGTAGACTATTGCAAACTAAACAAATAAACCAACAAGTGTGCCTGTTTACCTCATCTGCTGAACAGTCGTTTGGTAGAATGGCCCAGTTCTTGTACTGACTTTCCACAGCTGAAATAGGACATTTTTTTTAAACAAATGGTGTGTAAATGAAATTGTTCCTTTTGAGACTGTAGCTCTTGATCTTCCATTTTATGGAAAGTGATACTTTAGGAAGTAGTCTGTGCGGTAGGAATGGTGGCCTGGTGGGCAAAGCTGGGGGTGGTAATCATGAGGTTGATTAACATCTAGGCCCTGTCATTTATCTTCTGTGAGTCCTCAAGCAACTTAACTCACATCTCAGTTTCCTCTCTGTAAGTAAGGTGTATTATACTACCTCTCTACTTGTGTGTGAGAGTAGTGAGGATAAAGTGCAGTGAGAGATCGCAAGGCATTACGAAGTGTCATGTGCATTAAAGACCTAAGTAGGTCTTAGTTGAGTCATCTGTGTGCTTTGAATTTTGGCTTCAGGTGGATGCTTTGTGGAAGACAATGGATAGGAAGAACAACCATCTAGGCTGGTTGAATGAATGTGGAAGGAAGCCTTTAAGATAACGCTTTTATTCTAGCCAGATTCACCAACACGTTTCTTTCCTCTGTTCAGCCAGTCGTACCTTATATTTTCTGTTACAATGTTCTTCTCTGTTAACTGCTGCTTTATTAACAGAGCTACTTGTCCTCTTGCTACTAGAGTTTTTGCAGTAACAGACCTTTTGTCTGCTAGACCAGAGATCCACTTTTCCTGGAGTATGTCACTGGTTTTGCACTGGTGTTTCCCACTGGTTTCGCACTTTCATGCCGGTTTGGATGCCTGGTGTTACACCTAGCTGGAGGCTGTCTCTGCCTTAGTTAAAAGGGTGGCAATGTGACTGGAGCTCTGCAGAGCGTACTCCTTTCTTGTTCCAGCTGGGATTGTCTGTGTGTGTGAAAGGGGTAGATGATCAAGTGTTCGGAGCAGGAGCAGTGTCTCTGTTCCAGCTAGAGGTGAGGGCTAATATGTGGATCTAACAATACATATACTTAATATCTTAGTTTTCCTATGTAATTTATCCCATGCTCTTTATGCTTTGTTTTCTTTTCTAAAGCAGAAAATCACACAGTGCTGTGGACAAGTGTTGTGTGTTGTTGTGTATCTTGTGCATCCAGCAAGATGGTGATCCTGAGTCATTGCTGTTGAGCAAAACTGTTTCTTACATGCACTGAATCTTCCAGCTGTCCTGTAGAATCAATTGGCACAATCAATTTAAGCACTGATGGAGTAGGGTTAGTTATTACAGCTGTTGTATGAAAATAAAACAGTCTCAGTGCTGCCTTTTATATTTCTACACTGTTGCTTGCTTATGCTGCGTCCTCTTCAGTGTAGTCTTTGACACCGCAAGTGTTTTTTTCTGTGTAGCTGTGAGGTGCCTCTGGAGACTGTATCTCTTACTGAGAGCTTGTTTCTTTTAAATTTTGAAAGTGGGGATGGTGGGATACTAGGTGAAAGAGGAAGTTTTTGTTCTTCCAGGAGCTTTTTTTTTTTTTTTAAAGGTAGACTCAGTTCCTGACTTCCCACTTCACAGAACATCCAGGTTATCTAATTAAGTTAGAGAGATCATATGTTCTCTATTAGATTTTTGTAGAATTGAAGTCTGAACAGTAGCTTCCTGTATGATAGTTTTCAGTGGTAAGATGTGCAAATTACATTCTTCAGAGAGAAATCTGAATAAGTGAAGATAATGAATGGTGAGGCATGCTTTTCTAATGGCCGTTTTTTCAGTGTAGCTTTAGGTACTCTGCAGGTATCTGTAATGTAATATAAGTACTGTTTAATGTCTAATGTTTAATAAACTAATATTTTAAATATGTTCTTTACTGTCTTAATATATTTTTTTTTAAATAATGCTGATGGTTTATGCATAAATCGTGATTCTTGCATGAAATAAAAATATGGGAGTAGAATTTTATATTAATTTATCTTTAATCCTTTTTCCGCTTCTTAGTGCGTGTGGATGCCTCAGAGTGAAAACTTCTAAGTTCTGAGCAGTTGGGGCAGATCGCAGTTCAGGAGTACGTTATGTTCAGAAAGCTTTGTCGTTGCGTAGTGGGGAAACATCTCCTTTTTGTAAAGCACGTTTGTAATACTATTCTGAAGGTGTTTTTCACTGCTCTCTCATGAGCGATGCAAAGAAAGAAAATTCAGTGTATCTTTCTTTCTCATCTGTATGCATTATGGCAAGGGAAGGATTTCAGATTTTTGACAACTTACTAGGAATGCAGATTAAGTAAACAGTAGTTGTGTTGAAAGTGTCCCATTGTGTGTAAGATGGGAAGTGAGTCATTGAGTCCAGGTCCTCTACCATTATGGGAATGACATCATATCATTCCTCATAAGACTTCTTTTATTCTTAATTTTTTTCTTAACCAAGAGAACTCCTGGTGGTGTTTACGCACTCAGCCATGTCAGAAAATTATTCATTCCCTTTTTCATCTTTCTTTTTCTGAAAAGAACCAACTGAAAATGTCTCAGAATCCTGACAAGCCACATTTGAGTGAAGAAAAGTTGAGTGATTTGGAGGATGGTCAAGAGGAGAGCTTGGACAACCCGGATCAGTCTATCAGAAAAAGAATACGACAGAGTGCTCCAGGGTCACACAGAGATGATACACCAAAGTGTAAGCAAAACTGTTTCATAAAAAAAAAAAAAAAAGAAATCTGTAATTTTTCTGGTGGAGACAAGCATTCTATGCAAGTTTGACTGTTTTGCAATTAAATGTTGTGTGACTCCTGATCATTTGCTTTGAAACTGTAACACCTTTTTCCTCATTTTGTTTTAGCACTTAACTGTGTGTAATAACTGTGTTGCTCTGAGCCACATGTGTCTCAGATACCTTTGTGTGTCTGCACTCACAGAAGGGATGAGCACCACTCCAGTATGTTCTAGCTAAACTTTTGCTGCCGTTCGCATGATCAGCTGAACCTTCTGGATTGTTTCAGCCTCCATTTCTACTGCAGGGCAAGAAAGGCTGTTATCAACAAAGCAATGTCCTGTCATCTCTCTCCCAATACAGGTGGAAAGTTGTATTTATAATCCTAATACTACTCCTAGTGCCAAGCAGGACTTCATATTTTAATTTTATGCCTAAGGCATATTTTTCTTCGTCATTCTGCTTTTAACGTGAGGAGCTGGATGCAATATGGCTACCAATTATTTCTGGCAAATCTATAGATAAAACCAAGAGGAAGTTTTCTAGTCCCAGGGATTAAATTCAAAGAGGCAGAATTGCTCAGATAAGTAGTTCCAAATTTCTGTAGAGAGTGTTTCAGCATGTAACGTTTTGTTTGTATAATTCTTTTTATTTTTTAAGTGTTCATTATTACTTGAGGTTTAGTGTTATGTTACGTAGAGGAGATGTTCTGAGGGAGCTTATGTTCTTACATCTTGCTGGTTGCCTGATAGGAAACGCGGTGTATGTATGGAGAAAAGCTATGGACGTGTGAGAGTGAAATGCATAACACAGTCTTGCACTGCGTTGTACCACAAAGAACTCGTTAGTCTCGAGCCCTCCTCTCTTGGAAGGCAGCAGATATAACATGAAAATGAAGTAACATGACTTAAGAGAATTCCTTCGTAGATGAGAGTCTTAGCTTTTAGTCCATCCACTGCTGGAGTGAAGTCATTTGGCAGTCGGACAAGAGCACTCTCATTCAGCTGTGAGCTTTGTTGTCCTGCTAGTTCTTCTCAGAATATCAATCCCTGCTGTGTTTCCAGAATCACTGTGCAAGATTAAGCTGCAAGCAGAAGGAAATAAGGGTTTAAGAGCACTGCACAAAAAGAGCGAGATATTAGTGAAAAATTAGCACATTGGAACCATACTGTATATACTTGGAACAGCTTTGGATGGCAGACAAGTGATCAACAGTTATTTTTAAAGGACCTTTTCTATGTTACTAGCGTTAAGTCCAGTCAAACTGAATTATCAAATGAGGCATGATAGTTTGCCTAAAACACATCTCGGTGAACCCAGCCTATGGATATACCTGGTTGGTTTCTTTCATTTTGAGAGTTAGTATGTTGCTCCTATGCTCGGGCTGTAGTTGAACTGAATAAACTACAGAGAGGAATCAATCCCTCAGGGCAGTTTCACTGCGGCTCTTTCTCCCCTTCTGATCTGCTAGGTGTTTTCTGGAGGAGCCAAGATGAACCTTGCCGTTCTTGTCTGCCTCACCTGAGGGCACTAATCATCTAGCCTTCTCCTTTTTCCTCAAATACTTGCACCAGGGAAGAGCTGTGGTGCTTCTCCTAACTTTAGGCAAGGCACCCACACACACTGCTTGCTCTGATGCTAGCACAGCTAGAAGGAATCTTGACCGCAAAGAATCAGTGGCAACAGATTGCAGGTGGCTTCAGTGGGGATGGGATTACTCCCCTAACCAGTATGGCCTACACCCTTGACACCTTCTCTGTCTTTATGCTGACTTGTTTTTAGGGCTGTGACATTTCCTGCACTACCACAATGCCAGTAGTGTCACAGGAGGTTGCTATGTAGTCCGGAACAGTTAGGAGCCATAATTCCCAGTGCATCCAGGAAGCAAATTAAATTTGCTAAAACTGTCCCTGTCTCTCTTCTACCTTCTAGATTTCAGCAGTTGGTCACTAACTTTGTCTCCTGCCTAATGAAAACTGGCCTGTTTTTTTCCAGGTTTCTTGCTTCCTTCTACTCGCTTGTATGCTCCAGGGCCCAATTTGAAGCTGCTTGTCCATCCTTGTTGGTCCCAAATGCCTGTCAGAGGAAAATGTCTTAGGCATTGGTGCCGAGACTAGGTCTTGATGTGCTTTGTTGTTCGGACAATGGCCTCTTGGGAGAAAAATGAGAATTTGGAGAAGTGCCAGTTGCACTGGAAGTAATAAAAATAATTAGCCACTGGTGTGTTATCGCTTAATGTTAATGGTGGTTTGTTTGCCACCTGCCTTAGAGATGAGGTCACTTCCTTGAAAAATACAAAATTGAAATGGCAACATCTGCACAATAACTAGGGAAATAGTGTGGTGAAAATACTAGTATTTTTTATGATTTCTTCCTAAAGTATGGAGAAAAAGGCTAAGATGCTATTAGGCAGTCCTAAAGAAGTGGGGGCTTGGGTGCAGGGGTTTTCTTGGTTTTCTTTTTTAAAAGAGCTTGATGGAACTTGGAAGCAATTGACATACTGAGCCCAGAATGTTGACTGGGGTTCAGTCCTTTGTTTTCTGTAATACTCCACAACCTGTGTCATCCACCAGCTGGGGAAGGAAGGGGAAGGAAAGGAGAAGAATCTTCAGATGATGCTGTCCTTTGGCCCTCTGTACTGTAAAGAAGGTGGAAAGGGTCCAAAAGTATTAGCAGACTTTTTTCCACAGACTTTATAGATAACTGACAGTTTAATTTGTGTTGCAGCTAGTCCTTCTCGACCTGTGTCAATAGAAGAGCTCATGGAAACAGCTAAGGGAGTAACCAACATGGCATTAGCACATGAAATTGTTGTTAATGGAGACTTCCAGATAAAACCAGCTGAATTACCAGAACACAGGTAAGATAGTTATCAAATAGATGCATAAATTACATCTGCATTTGTAGAACTGCAGAGCAGCTCCAGTGGATCAGATAAATGCTCTGGCTAGTATCCTGTCTGGCAGTGCCTGGCAGGAGATGGGAAAGAGCATAAGAAGGAGGTGGTAAGCGTGCAGTTCTGCTTCCCCAGAAACGCGTGTGTGTGAAAAGTGAACCTCTTGGAGTAATTGTTTGGGCATGTGTGGTGCGAATCCCAGTGCGGTGTTGTTTCTGTCGGAGTTCCGTTGTCCCAGGAGCCTGAGACTGCAGTCTTCATAACACCCAAGTCTAGCTGCAGATGCAGGTAGTTCTTTTAGCTCTTAAGCTTGCACTACCTGAGGGAATAAGATGAAACTCTTTCAGCTTATTCTGAGCCTAATGTCTGTTTCTGCAGAGACTTTTTGGGAAGAGATTCCTATGTTTTATTAGCTTAATCCTTCCTCCTTTAGCTTGACATCTTTCCTTCTCTGTCTGACCTAGAGTAATTCTATCCCCTGCTGAGAGAGGAGAGGGAGAACAGAAGATGCCTTGATGTCTGTGATCGCGTATTGGCCAGCGTAGCTGACCCAGTCCTATCCACAGATGCTTCATCTGCTGTTTCTTTCTCTTTCACACACAGAGAGATTTGGCTGACAATGTGTTTCCTGAGTTAATTTGTGAAAGTGAGCGCACATTTCATGGAAGAAACTTGATCCATATTGAAACCTGAGTGTCATCTGTAGGTGCCCGTATTTGAGAGACAGACCCCAGAGCACATTGCTTTCGTGGGTGCTGCAGGAGAATATGCTACAGATGGCTTTTAGAAGACTGGCCTTTGTTGTCCTCTATAGAAAGCGGTCATACTGAGACAAAAGGTCTGATGCCTATCTCCACCAAAACAAGGTGATGGTGGTTCCTGTTAAAGTTAGTAATAAGAGAATGTTGCTTGGAACCAGAATTGTCCCTGACTGAAAAGGCAGTGATGGGAACACTCTCGTCATGCCTTCTCACCTGGAGTATTCCTGTCTTTCCAGCTCTGACACCAGAGTATTATGTCAGTGGTGTTTTATTAATGGCTGTGGACTACTAAACAACAGTAACCAAAGAAAATGTGCTCATGTGATTAAATGCACTGAGCCTCGTGGTTCTAGCAGGAGTTGCCTTTGAGTAGGGGTTGAATGGAGCAGATGAGTGTCTTTGCTATGCTTTGTTCACTTGTCTCAGCCTCTGAGTTGGTAGGAAATGGAATGGTGGTACCCTTAAATGCTGAGGACAAACAACATTTAACTGAGCCAGCACATGACAACAGACATCTCTGTCGTCCATCAAGACTCTTGTGTTTTAGAGCTCAAGCAATGACTTGATCTGCCTTCTCAGCACCATCTTTCAGTGTGTGCCTTGGCTGTTAGACCCAAGCAGTGTGGTCCAGTCCTACTTTGTTGCCTTACTTTCAGGTCGTGCGCGATTCACGTGTGGCCCCGTGAACCGGGGTCTGTCTCCAGTCTGCACAAACGCTGCCTCTGAAGCAAGGAAAGAATGCCTGAGACATGCAAAGCCTGTTTTCTCTGGTCTATGTTATCTCCTCTCTCCCAGCATCTTTTGGGGAACTTGCATCAGGCGTTTTCTGCTTGGCAGTCGATGGCTGAGAATAAATGCTTCAGCTCTTCTATTCAGTTTCCGCTTCTGCTCTGTATTCCTTCACATGGATTTCTCATGTGAAAATGGGCTGTGATAGTGGAAAACTTTTCTGGTATGCCTCAGTGCTATAAAATTGATCTCAGCATTTTTCAGGGAAGAAGGATTTTAGCATTTTTTCCATCCATTCTTCTTTCTCCACCCCCCTTGAAAAAAAAAGAAAAAAAAAGGGAAAGACCAATGCTGTACTTTGGAAAGTTGGATCCTTTTGCTCACTGAGCAGTGGCTGTTGTTCACCAGAGTGGCTGATTTGCATCTCCTCACAGGATCACAAAACCACGTGTTGCAGAGGTCACCTTGCTCAGGAGTGCCTGGGCTTTGGGATGGGCCAGGCCTGCTTTAGTGCAAGATCCTTGTATTTGGCTTTTGTGAGGATTTTGGTTGCAGTTATTTGTCGCCCAGAAAAGAAAGAGTACTCCTTCAGACTTTGCTTGAAGAGGGACTCTCTCATCTTCCTTGATTAAATGTGGGATTTTTGGTTTGTGTTTAGCTTAGAGACCCCCACAGCTTGAATGCAAGTGTAGACAAGTGATTGGAGGAGAAAGCCACTGTGACTGTATTTGCAGTTGCATACACTGTCCCTGGAACATCTTGGCTGGTCTTAGAGGGCCACAGGGTGTAAGTGCCTCTGGCTGCTGCCTGAACCTCAGCTGCCTGCGGAATCAGAGCCTTGGGAATGTGGTGTTTGTTGTGTGCCTACGTGTGAGCATTTTACTTCTTTGCCGTTGAAGTTAAACCTGCTGCGAGCAGGAGCCTGCCTGCTGAAGAGGAGTAACTTTCAGCATTTTGAATTAGGAATTGGTACTGAAGCAGCGGAATTCTTTGTTTTGTTTTGTTTTGTTTTTGTTTGTTTTTGTTTTTTTTTTACACGAAAAAAACTGGGCCTTCATCTCAGAGTAGTCGAAATGTTTATGCGTTGAAAAGCGGAAGCTTTTTTGTCAGGGAAGTCACTTCATTTCTTTTAGATTTACTTAATGAATTTTACTTTGTAGAATTGCATTTCCTTAGGCTTTTGAAAGGAACATGGATACTGGTCTTTTGAAGACAAGCTGTAATTTTTGTGTGGTGTATTTTTTTTTCTTCCAGTTGTTTACTTTAGAGGTAGCATATAATAGACACTTTCAAGGATTTTAATTTATAGTCACCTTTGCTTGTGTATAACCCTTTATTAGGATATAAGCCATTCCAAATCCTGCATCCAGTTTTTCTTGCTTTTGAGTAACTTAAAATGACAGATCTCTTCTCTGTTAATGTTCATATATTCATTACTACATTATATTCATATTATTACATGCTGTTCTTCAGGAGCTGCAGGTTACCTATGTAAGGTGGTGCTGAGACAAGTATCATACTTTTTAACTGGTCATATTTACCCACAGCTTAGAAAAAAAAGTAAGAGATATTGTGCATAAAGCCTTCTGGGATTGTCTGGAAGCTCAGCTAAAGGAAGACCCACCAACATATGACCATGCAATTAAACTATTGGGAGAAATTAAAGAGGTAAGATGATGATGTATTGAGGTAAATTATTGAATTTGTGTAACTGCACTGATATGAATGGGCAAAAGTGGTTGAAGTTTGGCTTTTCATAAAGGACTGTCTTCATCGTTTTCATTACTTTATCATTGTCTGTGATCATATATAAGTTGCACAACCTCAGAGGAGAAATTTGAATGTAAAAACAAATGTAAAACCCTGTAAGATGAATAAAAGGTAAGTAATACTAGTTTCGTAATTCCAAGCTTCTTTCGTGTTATAACAGTGGTATTAGTTGCAGAATCCATGAGATGGCCCAACACTAGCCTGAAAAAAACAAGTACAATAGCCACAAGTATGAGCTGTACTACGGAGTATTTACCACTTAGTAACTTCAGTATCATACAGAATGAGGTGAAACACTTGGGGTTGGGGAATAGTTGGTTAAAAAAAAAAAAAAAAGGAAAAGGAAAAAAAAGAGATTTCACTTGTAAAGGGCAATTAGTTTAAATAAAAAGTGGTTCAATAACTGTTTCGATCCTTGTAGTCTTTGATATGTAGAACTAATGTACTGTTAAAAACTTTCCATTTCAGAATCTCCTGTCTTTCTTGTTGCCCGGTCATACTCGACTGAGAAGCCAGATCACGGAAGTTCTTGATCTGGATTTGATAAAACAGGAGGCAGAGAATGGAGCCCTTGACATTTCTAAGTTGGTTGAATTTGTTATTGGGATGATGGGGACTCTCTGTGCTCCAGCTCGAGATGAAGAAATTAAGAAACTGAAAGATATTAATGAAATAGTTCCTCTCTTCAGGTACTGAAGTGGTATTTATTGGTCATGTTGAGAGTTCCTTAAATAATTTTAAATGGGGGAGGGGGATGTAGTTCCAGCAGGGTAACTTGCAAATCTTTGTAGAAAAAAAAGAGTGATAGAGAAAGGGATATAGTTGTGGGTGCGAAGGGGAGAGATGCTCCAGAAGTCTTTAACAGAGACTCTCGTTATTCTGGTGAATTGGAGTATTTGTCTAGAAAAGTGTTATTCTTCTCCAGCCAGTTCTTCCTTTCCCCCAGATTTGAGCTCTCTTTATCCCCTACCTCACTCTCTGTATAATATCCTCTCAGTTCTAAAGGGGGTGCACATACCACATCTGGGAGCACAGAGGCTTCTGCTTTGTCACCATGTTCTCTGTTGAACAGCTCCAGGTCTCCATAGTTAGAAGAAATTTCATTAACCTTGTTGTTTTCTGATTTGATAAGCTTCCAAGAGTTCAAGACTGACTTGGCAGACATATTGCCAGCATTTCTTTGAAATGAAGGTGTTGTTCTTTGGGTTTTTTGTTTTGTTGTTGGTTTGTTTGGGTTTTTTTGTGTGTTTGCTTTTTTTCTCTTTTTCTTTTTTCCATTCTTTTTTCCCACTGAGGTTGGCTTTCTAGGCTGTCAACAGAGATGGTATGCGAGCTTGGAAATCCAGATGTCTTTTTATGTAGTCAACGTAGGACATTGCACATCCCAGGAAATACAATCTATGGAGCTAGTAAAGTTAATTCCATGGAGGCTTTTTCGCAGGACAGCAAGTTCTACTTCCTGCGGGGAAGAGGCGTATGCATGCATATACGTGCTTCCTCAAGCTTTCTCTCTGTCTCATGCTCTTGAATTGCTAAGCACCCTGTTCATGTCTCCCATGCCTGTTTTTGCTCTTTCCTTAGACATTCTGTAATAAGTCTTATGAACATTACCTCCGAAGCATCTGCAGCCTCGAATAACTTTTTCTGTTTATTTGTTTAGAGCGATTTTCTCTGTATTAGACCTAATGAAAATGGACATGGCAAACTTCGCTGTCAGTAGTATTAGGCCAAAATTAATGCAGCAGTCTGCTGAATATGAAAGAAAGAAGTTTCAGGAGTTTCTTGAGAAACAGCCAAGTATGACTTTGTTCCTTTCTTTCTTCCCCTCTGACCTCCCAGTAAACTGTGTCTTTGCTTGTAGGTCATGAAAAGAAATCATGATCTTTTTATAAGAACTTTTTTATAAGTTCTAGAATTCATGTGGTAAATGACAGCTTGTGCCCCAAAACTGTGGTTTGAAAAATTCTGCTAGCACGACAGTTCTGGACTGGGTACACTGGGGTTTTGTTTCATTTCAATACAGTGTAGGACATAATTAGCTAGCATCATCTCACCTCTAATTTCCTGTAGCTGTGTCGTGTTAATTTGGTTTTAGATGTTCTGCTTAATGCAGTAAATGAAATGCATGTCAATAACTGATATCATGGGTATTAGTAACTGATGGGATTATTTGGAAATTATTGGTGGAAAAAGCTAACTTTGAAAAGGAATTTTCTTAACAAGATTTTTTTTTTTTCCCCCTCTGCTCTTCCAGATTCTTTAGACCTTGTCACAAGGTGGTTGCAAGAAGCGGCAGATGATCTTGCGAATCGGAGATATAAAATGTTGCCTCCCCACTGTAGTGCTGATGGTGCCACTGGTGGAGCTTCTGTCTTGTGCTCCACTGCTGTACAAAATCAGGCCTATCTGAAGCTCCTAAAGTGGGATCATGTAAACAGGCCTTTTCCAGAAGTAGGTATTTAACAGAAAGAATTATTTCTGTGCTTGTTCTACCTCTCTATTTCTGGGATATAACAGAAGCTGCTTGTATCTGTAGCCTTACAGCAAGTATAATACTGAAACATTTATCTCTTGATTGAGAGCTCTGGTAGCTCTTCTAATAGGTTCTTATTTTTCAGTATTGAAATTCACTCAGTTGGAAAAGAGGAGTTAATTCTTTTCCTTTTGTTCCTGCTGCTCGCCTGCTGAGCATGTGTTGCTCTTTTCTGTGTCTTCATCTTATCTTCACTGCTGTGAACAGTGCCACTGCACAGCCCAGCCTTCTGACTTTATTCTGTGCTGGCTTCCTTACTCTTTGCAGACAGTGCTGATGGACCAGGCTCGCTTTCAGGAAATACAGCTGGAGCTGGAGCAACTCCTCCTGACCGGGACAGTCCTTCTGGTCGTGTTCAGTGCAGCAGGCTCGGCACTCATTGATGTGCCTGGATTTGCTGAGAAAATCAAAACCATTGTCAAGGTGCTGCTGACAGGACTGCATCTTCCGTGAGTACGGGATGATCCTTGTCACACAGAGGCAGGTGTAGTTGCCTTTTCACCCTGGTAAATAAGCAGTTTAAGCCTCTCTCTGGCTGTGGACTGCAGAATACGTGGAGGGAGTGATGAGGGCTTTTTATGAGCCCAGGCTGACGATTTTTATTCAGCTTACTTGGACAGAACTGTCTGGTTTTTTGCTCTGTTCTTTTCTGATATGTACGTGTGCCTTTTTTTCAAAGGAGTATGTTTTCCATGATGCCTGGTTGGCACACAAGAGTGCAAGCAGGTAACCATGCTCATAGTTTGGGCCAGGCTCCCTCGAGAATTTGAGTGTGGTATAGTAAGCTTGCAGGTTTGGAATGACTTCTGTGTGGTAAGTACACTTGCAGATTGGGAATGACTGCTGTACACATTCTGGGTTGATAACTGGTTTTTGCATTAGAGCTATCCGTGCAGTAGGAAAGTCAGCTCTTATTTGCATGGATTGTTCAGGCTGGAAATCTCTAATGCTATCCCTCTTCCTTGTTTTATATCTCAACTATGTTTTTCATATATATGAAGTGCATTATTCCTTATAGTTCTGGCCTTTATCTGGATTACGCCTCTTCCACTACATTTGAATAATAAGCAACTGTAATTGGATAGTTTATTTTTAAAAGATGGGAATAAAGTGAGTAACTGCAATAGCTAAGTAACGCTCTACTCCACATTCCGTAGCTCCTTTAACCTGAAGGAATCTTTGGCTACCATCGGTGAAAAGGTGTGTGCTGAAGTTAACAGCTGCCTTTCCCAGCATGGGTTTCCACCATTCTCAGCTGAGCGAGAGACTGTGCTTAAAGGACAAATCCAAGCAGTGGCCAATCCGGATAACACCATATGCAAGCTCATAGGTACGATGTGACAAAAACGTCCTGTTCCTAAGTGACCGCTCGTGTCTGTCTTTGTAAAACTGCTGGTGGCATGTCATGTCATGCATGGTTTCTTGTTTGATCTGTTTCAAATGTTTGTTTACTGTGTTCAGGCTTTCTGTGTTTTGCGTGACATTACGCTATTTCTCATTGACTGTCTCTTTTGAAACAAACCAAAATCCTTGGTCCAATTTTTCCAGATTCTCGAATTCAAAAGTTTCTGGAGAATTGTCTTGCATCTAGTCACCAGAAATCATTACCTGCTATTCCTGGAGGATTAGGCCCTATTCAAAGAGAGCTGGAAGAGATTGCTGTCAAGTATGTTCGTCTTGTCAACTACAACAAAATCGTCTTCAGCCCTTACTATGATGCAGTCCTTGGCAAAATACTGACTAAGGAAGAATCCCAACTCGTAGGGAAGTCAGAGGAATCATAAAACCAGTTTGTATGCTACCAGTACGGTATTAACTTTGTCAGCTATTTTAAGAAATTGCACCGATATTTGTCTAGGAAAACAGCTTTCCATGTAAATACTGGTTCCTTTCAATTCACTAGTGATGGTTGGTGAGGAAAACACACGAGATGCAAAAGGGGTTCTGAAGTAAATGATGAGAGAGATGCATTTTCAATGTAAGTGTGCAACCTGGGCGGGGAGTGTCTTGGTAGTTTTCTGGCTGCAATTTTTAGATTTTTGAGCTGGTGCTAGGTAAGACAAGTGTAAGAACCAAACTTTGTATTTAAGTGGCTCATTTTAGGGCATTTTATTCTAATTTACTGTGAAATTAGTTTAATTAATCCAGAGTAGATTAGCAATGGTCCTTTCCCAGAAAGGGTGATTTGGCTTTAAAAAAAAAAAAATTGTACTTTAAAGACTTAAGAAGTAAGCTAAAATTCTAGATAAGAGAAAATTTACCAGGCAAAAAACAAAGCCAAACAGCACTTTATTGTAACATTATGGTTAGTACGGTAGGCTACTAGTTTTTTCTGCATTTTACTGTGTTTTTAATAGCATTTTTTTGCTGTTTACCTGCAGATGTTACAAAACACATAATATATTTTTGTAGCAAATTTTCTGGTTATTGGGCAACTGTCCTCTGCTATGTACAGTACTTACAAAGGTGGCAATCTTATAGATTGCAGCTGTATTTATCTCTTGTAAAGACTTCAGAAGGGCAGAGCTAAAACGTTTTGATAAAGTGGCATTTCTTACCTTTTTTTTTGCTAGTAGTTTATTCCTTTTTATGTGAAATACTAATTTTAAAGTAAATCTTTGTCATTTTCAGAAGGTGGATTTAAAGTGTGTGAAACTTTAGGCTGAAAATTTTACTTGTTTTTTAAAACTACAACTGGAGATGGTTTCATATTCAATCATGACTTCAAAAATATTTAGGAAGTGCGGAGCACTATTGGAAGTATAAGTGATTTTAATGTACTGTGAGAAGTGAATGATTTAATGTTAGTTTGAATACCCAGGGAATATTTTCAGTAGAAGATTTTTTTCACTTTGTAGAGGTGTTCTTGAGACTTAAAATATTTGTAGGTCTTGAATTTAATTAGCTACATGTTGTATAGATGAGTGCTCACAGAAGAGCTCAATGATCTCACAGCCTTATTGCAATGTCAAACTCAGCTAGGAGGGAAGTACATTTGAAATGTTCCTCTAGTTGAGCAGAACGCTGTATTACAGTAATCAAAATTTGATTATTTTACGAAAGCAAAGTTTATAAATAGTAAGTGTCCCAAGTACTAGACTGTGCAAAATAGAATGCGTTGTCATCTTTAAAAAAAAAAAAAAACACCAAACCAACACGTTATGTAAAATAAACAAATAAAAGGGCCCTTTTATTGCTAACATCCAGGTTCATTTTATTAATCAACTAAAAGACTAGAACTTCTCAAAGGAAGCACTCATTATGAATCAGTGTTGATGCTTCCCTTTCCAGTTTTCCTTTAAATGTCACCATGGATATAGCTGCATTAACTTTGGAGTTTGGAGGAAGGTGGGACAAGTAAAACCTTTTATTGTGTATTAGCCTGTGCAGCTGTAAACCACCTCTTTTCTCATTCATTACAAACTCCCTTCCTCAAAGGGAAAAAAACCACCAAAACCCTGTAAGAGATCACCAGCTCAGACAAGTGATTTTTCTCTTGGCTAAATGTATTCAGGTAGTAAAATGGATGTCTGTCTTTGATAACTCAAAAACGAGTAGGTTGGTTAGCCAGAAAAAAAGTTCTGAGTAGGTGTTTGGTGTGGTCTGTCTCATTGTTTGAATCAGCAAAGGATGCTACAGAGGTCTCCAAGATTGCTACATCTGCTTACTGTACTTTGTTATTAGTGCAGGATTCACCTCAAAACACAGCCTGCAGCTCCAAAAAAATTAATTCAGTAGTCTGTGTAACAAAACAGCTACCAGAAACATCATTGCTAGAGATATTAAAAAAAACCAACCAAGACAAAGCTGTTTTCATTTTTGTTAAATGGGAGTTGCAGAAGTTATAAACTGCTGCTGGTGGTTTAGCACTGCCTAGAAGCTGTCTTCAAAGGCCCCTCTGAATTACGCACACTACAAAAATTTAGGTGCTGTAGGGGATGATCTTGAGGATGGGGGGAGGAACATCATCATGGTGAAACAACCTGCTTAGAAAAGTATGTGAGTGGTGCCAGAATGAATGGGACTGCACTATCAACAGATAAAACTGTACTTGCTTAATCTAGAAGATGGCTGCTCCCAGTTCTGGAATTCAGGGTCCAGATGTCCATGCCGGCCAGCTCCTGCTGACTCTGACATCAAAGCATGGATTGTGCTGCCACTAGTGCATGCGTGTTGCTCGCAGGGTTGATACCGTAAGTCCCATCTCTCCTTGCAGGAAGGGTTTGATCCTAAGGCTTCATGTAGAAAAAAGGTGCAGCACCTGTGCCTGGCTCCGGACTTACCTTTGGGCAGAGACGAGTGCCTCCGTTGGGGTGGTGCTGTAGGCCTTTCGGCAGTACGGATCTAAGGCAACTGTAATAAATGCCCACAAGTGCAAATCATGGTAGCAACTTTCCCAGGTTGTCTTTTTAATGACAGTGGTTGACAAACAGTTTCTCTGCATTCTCTTTGAAAGAAAGCAGGAGATCTGATTAGGTGGCAAAGCAAAAAAGAAATTCTAGGATTGATAAGGCCAGACCCTACCTCCATGTAAACGCTTATACGGTTTTACATACGCTGTTCCACCTTTTCATCTGGCAGAGGCAGGGGCGCTGACCTACAGTCATCTGCACTGCTGGTGGCAGGAGTGCTTTTCAACTTGTTGGAGTAGCTGAATTTCCTGTAGTCCAGGGGGGTTCTTCCGGTCTTATCCGAGTGCAGTTCTGAACAGTCAGTTACAAGACCTAAAGTATGCCTAGAAACTGCTTTGAAGGTTCACATAGTGTTTTTGTTAGCTGCTTTGAAAATAACGGGTTAAACCATAGCTAATATATTAACATTTAGCTTTGCACACTAAGTGGAAGACCAATGCAGTTATCCAGGAAGAGACTGTGTTAGCTAGTACTCCTGGACAATCCACATTAGAAATATGTACCCAGTTTGTCTTACGATGCCGTCTTCTTTCTTTAAACAGTCAAGGAATTCAGTGCAAAAGTATTCTGTATCCTCTAGAAAAATGGAAGAAAAGCTAATCCTAATATGTATGCTCTGATCAATTTCCTGTGATGGTCTTATTAACATCGCTCTTGAAGTGGCTGAGTAATATTTAAGAAATAACTTGTTGTGTTTGAATAAAACCAGAATGAGGCATGATGTTACGGATATCCTTTTATTTTAAAGGAATGTTTTTTCCATTTTCAACTACAAAACAGATTCCATACATTCTGCCATAAATAAAAACGAACAATAAGGCAGGACACTACATGAACAAACTGAGAACAACTGTTTTCCAGAAAATGTGAATTAAAAATGCTTCACAAGTATAAGCCATCCAGTTTTTAAAATAAAACTGTTGAAAACCCACAAGATTTCAAGTGGTAGATGTGAACACCCTTGAAGAACAAAATGCAGCTTTGACATTTTGCACTTTTGGTTTTGGAACCCTAGTTTCGTTCAGAGCACATTCTAAGGTTGTTCTGGCTGTTTTCCGATCAAGAACCATATGGGAAAAGAGGCACCACAGTAACAAAACCATTTTCAAAATTTCTTTTGTTTGCAGCTGTCCCTTTTAAATGCTTGACTTCTCAGAAACTGACGGACTCAATGCAAGTCTTTGTCTGTCACAATAGAACTCCCAACTTGTTTCACCGGATTCTCTTTTGCTGTCGTGCTCTGTAAATGTCGTGTACAGGGGGAACTACAGATCCTTTCTCCTCATCGTCGTCGGAATCTTCATGTGGTCTCTTAACAGCCTTATTGAGCATAGCGTTATTTTCCACAGGTCCGTTGCCTTCCACAGCTATTTCAGGTAGGCCTCCAGTAATTATTCGTACAGCTTCCTCAACAGCTTTAGAAGGAGAAAAAGATTAAATTAACTTGTGAAACTGAATTCCCTGATTAGAAATAAGCACGCAACAAGATACATACATTGTGGAAATTTCTGGAATGAAACACTTTCCTACCCTGTTCTCCTACAAATGTTAAGAATTAAGTCTCGAGTGTCTGAAACTCCAAGCTATGGCAAACACTAATTATAAAGTAAATGCTGCTGCTTCAGCTTGAGACCTCCCTTTACACAAGTATTGAGGTCATTTGCAAGCTTAATAAAACAGGAAAGCCTACTGGGGAAACAGTACAGCTAGTCCATGATTCATCAGAAAGTATGCAGAGCAAGTCAGTTTCTGCATAGGAGCAGAGAAAGCTTCAAAAATTCCATGTATAATTTAAATAGATGTTTTATTTTCACTCTAAAAGAAATCAAATCCCAGCTTTTCTCCTCTCTGATAATTTGTTCCTTAAACTAACAGAGGGGGTGAAAAGTAGCATATTACAATCTGCTGTAGTTTACATGAAGCCTGGGATATGGATTTGTCCTTTCCCTATTTCAGAACTCTACTGCTTTGTAGGAGTTCAGGAGACTGTTCTTGAATATACAAGAAAAACACTCTGAAAGCATTGCAACAACGGGCCTTCGGAGTTACGCCCACCACTGAACTTACCATGCTGCAAATCCGTGATTTAACGTTTCAGTTACCATGCTGCTGGAAACAATGCCCTGCTTCTTTTAAAGGATATTCTGAAAATCTTCACTTCTTTCTTTTAATGGTTACCACCAAAACGTTACTAAAGCAGCAGCAGCTGGTGACTTTCAGCTTTTTGACTTTTTGCTGATCTCCCTCCGGTTAGATGTACAAACATTTCTATGAAGATTCCAGCCTACAAACATGGCCAATTCAACAGTATACTCTTAAATAATAATTACACATCTGTAAATGAGGTCTGCATTTTAGACAGCAATATCCAT